CATCACCATCACTACCACCATCACCACCACCACCATCACCACCACCACCACCATCAGTACCATGATTACAATCACCACCACCACCATCACCACCACCACCATCACTACCACAACCACCACCACCATCACTACCACCATTACAACCACCACCATCACCACCACCACCACTATCACTACCACAACCACCACCACCGCCACTACCACCATCACAACCACCACCATCACCAGCATCACTAACAACACCAACACCACCACCACCATCACCACTACTGCCACCATAACCATCACCACCACCGCCACCACCATCACTACCACCGCCACCACCACCATCACCATCACCACCACCATCACTATCACCATCACCACCACCACCACCATCACTGCCACTACCACCATCACTACCACCACCACCACCACCACCATCACTGCCACCACCACCACCATCACTACTACCAGCATCACCACCGCCCTCACCACCACCACCACCATCTCTACCACCACCAATACCATCACCACCATCACCACCATCACCATCACTACCACCACCACCATCACTATCACCACCACCACCACCATCACCGCCATCACCATCACTATCACCACCACTACCACCATCACTACCACCACCACCACCACCATCACCACCATCACCACCACCACCACCACCATCACTACCACCACCACCACCGCCGCCATCACCACCATCACTACCACCATCACTACCACCACCACTACCACTACCACCATCACAACCACCACCATCACTACCATCACCACCATCACCACCACCATCACTACCACCCTCATCACCACCATCACCAGCATCACCATCACTACCACCACCACCACCACCATCACTACCACCACCACCACCACCGCCATCACAACCATCACTACCACCACCACCACTACCACCACTACCACCAGCACCATCATCACCACCACCACCACCATCACCAACACTACCATCACTACCACCACCACCACCACCACCACCACCACCACCACCACCACCACCACTTCCTGAGGGTTTCTGCTGTGCCAGGCACTGCCTGTGCTGTCTCACCTCATCCTGAGGCAGATTTCCCATTTCACCAATGAGAACTTTGGAGTCAGAGAGGTTGAACACAGTAAGGAGCCTCAGAATTTGAACTTGGGTCTGTATAACTCCAGAGTCAAGCTCTGAAGCACTTTGTGGGAGAACACCCTGGACAAATACTTTGTGCAAAGGTCAGGAGGGGGGTGCACCTTTGGGAAACTGCTGAGTTCACCTGCTAGCTCATTACCAGCTGGGCTCGACCCAGGCACCCTGTCTCCCACTCTAGTGCCCCTTTGATGCACTGGGTGACTGGTGCTGTGGAGAGTCTGAGTTCAAGTTGAGGACTGAGTCCAAATGCCATGTCTGTGACTTATTGTCTCTTCAGTTGTCAGTTGTTTTCCCTTGCTGAGCCTCAGTTTCCCCAGCTGGAAAGCAGGCAGATGTTTACCATGCCCATTTCCCCTGACTGCTGGCAGGAGTCACTAAGACAGTAGACATGGAGACTCTGACTAAAATAGAGTTGTGCTGTGCTCATTCTTGCAGGTGCTGCACTTCCACTCTCTCTGGGTGACAATGCCACTCTGCTCTGCCCCAGCCTCCCTGACGATGCTCTCCTCCCTTGCTGACGATGAGGATTCTAGCCCCTTCCGTGTGGTGGTGGGTGAGGAGGAGGCCTTGTCACCTTCTCTGAAAGCATTGATGATCAGAGTCTGGGATGAGGGTGTAGGAGGAGCCCTGGCTTCACTCTGAACCCACCTGTGACCTTGGGTGAGTCAGCATCTATCTCTACATGCCTTGTCTTCCTGGAAACTCCACGTGTCCAGGGAAGTGAGATGAGGGTCCACGGTTTCCAGCTTCTAGCGATATCTGAGAGGAAACACTTGCTGGATGTGTGGGGCATGGCGCTGAGCTCCTTGCCCACCTGTTTGATCCCAACCACCCCACTAGGCAGAATCTGACATTGTCCCCATTCTAAAGAAGAGAACACTGAGGCTCTGAGTCAGAAAGTGACCTGCCCAGGTAAGTGCAGCTGGAAGTATTGAAGTTGGAGTTGGGCCTGGGGCTTTGGAATTCACTCGGATGCCATCTCTGAGGGGCCTTTCCCTCCTGGGTGGTCTGGACAAGGAGACTGGGGCTACCACCTGGGCTACATGACCTCAGGACCCCACAACCCTCAGAGGCTGCTCCTCTTTACCTATAGGCCTGAGCATGCAGGCTGAAGAGGGGAGGCTGTCTCCCATGCATGATGAGTTTTCATGAAAAGTCCATCCATGCCCAAGGCCCAGTCATCTTCTTCCTTCACCTCCTCCCCTACACCCATCAGATGCAGGGCTTGGGGCTCTGGCAGGTCTATAGTTTGAGCCACTGTGGTTAGAGCTCTGAGGTCAGATAGGGGGCAGGGGTGGAGTAAAGTTCCCATTTACACCCCCATCTGGATGGGCCAGGGAGTGACTTGGGGTGAAGTGGAGGGGGCGGGGAACCCATGGGGCACCTTGAGTCCAGATGGGACTCCTCTAGGAGTGTGGGGCTTAGTCCCTGCCCTATTCTGTTTCAGTGGATATCTTGCTTAGGTGAGACCAGAAAGGCTGCACTGAGCTCTCAAGAATGTGGGTCTCATACCTGCCAGCTGCAGACCCTTAGCCTCACTGGGCCTCAGCTTTCCCATCTGTGCTGTGGGGGTAATCGTGTCCCTCCCTTCTGGTCTCTGTGAAGATTTGCTGGCTTGATGCATGTAAAATGCGGGGCCCACTGAGGGCCACTTGGGCAACCCGGCTCAGTGAGCATCAGTGAGCACCAGTGATGATTGCCACAGCCTTGGAAGGTCTGACCTGGCCTGACGCTCAACTGGTGTCTTGGCTGCTGTAGGATCTGGTGATGGGGTGGTTTAAAAGTGATACTCAATAATAATGGTGCTATTATCACTACTCATAGTGTTGGGTTCAGAAAACAGACCTGGTCAGAAACTGCCTGCATTCGAATTCTGACCCCAGAACTTACTGGGTGGGACGTGGGGCAAGTTACTAATCTCCCCAAGCCTCAGCTTCTCCCCTCTAACACGAGGGCATAATCTCTAACTGAGAGATGGGCCGAGAAAAGTGTTCAGCACCCCCCCGGCACACAGCGAGTGCCCAATCAGTGTTGGCTACTGTTGGCCATTTGTGGAGGACTTTCAATATAAGCTCTGCGGGAGGCTTTTGTGTTTTGTCCAGTGCAGTTGTGAGTGCCAAGAAGGGAGCCTGGCACATAGCAGATGCTCAGTGTACATTTGCTGAATGAATGCATGGAAGGATGTTGGTGTGTTTCACTGAGGCCTGACACGGTGAGTGCTCAGCCAGCTTTGGGCCTGGATTCTGCCCAGGGCTGTGCCCAGCTCACTCTACTTCTTCAGACCCTGTTTGGAGCATCCTTTCTGCTCTTAACAGATGAGATGCTTTACCACTGGACTGGCGCCAGGCTTAAAGAGTGTCTGAGCTGCTACCTGCTGTGCACTGTCACTGAGTCACGGGTCTTTCTCTCTCTCTCTCTCTCTCTCTCTCTCTCTCACACACACACACACACACACACATTCACACACACACACACTCACACACGGTAGCTGGCTGTTAAGCAGTGGTCCCTTCCCAGCTTCTCTGCCTGGTGTACCCTGCATGGTTTCCCTGCCTCAAGGGCAGGTGTAATCAGTGGCCAGGAACCTGGAGGGTCCCTAAATGCCCTCTCACCAAGATCCACAAACCTCTGTCCACAAATGGACAATGCTGCCCTGAGGGATGAGGTGCCTGCCCCTCCCCCACCTCAGCCAATTAGGCTACAGTGAGAGGGGATTTCCAGGGCCTTTCCTGAGAGGACTTTTGATGGACATGGCCAGAGAGCCCAGGAACTGGGCTTCCAAGGCAAAGGGAAGGTACCAGAAGGGAGGGAGGAGTGGCTAAGATCCACCTATGCCCACCCTCCGCTGCCTCAACACAGCTGCAGTGACCTGTTAGGTGCCCTTTGGTCTCCATTCATCTATGGGCTCTTCGCCCCCAGTGGATGTCTCTGGGGTCTCCCTTTATCCTGGGCTGGGGATCCCTGTGACCCTTTTCTTGTTCTTCCCTCTTCCACATGAACTCAGGGGGTATCTGGCTCAGGTTTGTCAACTCAGGGAGATTTTGCTGCCCAGGGGACAGCTGGCAAACAAAGCCTGGAGACATTTTCAGTTGTCACAGCTGGACTGGTGGTGGTGGGTCCTCTTCTAGGGAGAAGCCAGAGCTGCTGCTGAGCATCCTGTAGTGCACAGGGCGGTCCTCCATGAGAAAGAATTATCCAGCCACCAAAAGTCCATAATGCTGCTGTGGGGAAGCCCCACAGGACGTATGGAGAATGAGAGTCGGAGGGGGCAGTGATCCGCCCAAAGCCGCACAACGTGTTGGTGGCAGGTCCAAGACTATAACCTGAGTTTCCTGACTCTGCTGGTCTGGCTGCGGGGCCGGCGTCAGTGCTGCGGGCCTGAGTGCCAAGTGGCCTCTTTGTCTCCAGCCTGGTTTTTGTTTCTCCCTAAATCATTTCGATTTCGGGAACATTTTTATCTGTGTTTTCATTCTCCCTTGTTTTTCATTGTGCTTTCTCTCTGGGTAATCCTAGGCTTGCAGGCAACTAAGTACGACGTGTACATTTCAATGAAATGCAATAAAATATAATTGAACATATTTCTTTCATGTCTGAGCGACGGATTAATCTCCCAGACACATCTCTGTTTCCTCTTTGCTCCCTCCACGTTTTGTCGGAGTGTTTCCTCCCCTTCCCAGCATCGCTGGGATTTGAATGGTTCCCTTGCCCCTGGTCACTGGAGATAGACACACAGTCCTGACTCTACAGCCCCACATCTGTGATTGATAAATGATGCTCCCGGGGCAGAGGAGAAGGAACTGCTGGGGAGAATGCCAGCCCCAGGTGGGGAGAGAAGAAGGGTCTCTGCTGCTGATGGGGAGCAGTGGGGGTCCATCAGTGGGACTGGGAAGGCCTCCTGTGATGTAAGGACCCTCCCGGGAAGACACACTCTTGGTGCAGCCGTTGTGGGTCCCCAGTGAGTGCAGGATCAGCAGAGATGCCCTGGACTGCCTTCACATAACTGTGAAGTGCAGGCTCAGCTCAGGGCAAGAGCGAGAGGCATCAGATGGAGCAAGGGCCACAGCCTCAGGGGCGATGTGAGAAACATGGAGGAACCCCATCAGGTGGAGAAGGTTCATGGCAAGGACCTGTGGGTTCTTGTCAGCTGTGGGGAGCAGTTTCACTTCCATCCTGGGAGCAATGGGGAGCTCATAAGGGATCTAAGCAAGGGAGGCATGAGCAGATAACTCCTCTTCCTGGCTGCTGGTCAAGAAGGGACTGTGGGGCAGGAGCTGGAGCAGGAGGCTGAAAAGAAGCTGCAAAAGTGTCCAGATGGAGGTGATGGGGATGAAAAAGGCCAGGAGTTGGAGAGAGAGAATGGATTGCAGAGATCCTGCTGCCTCCCTGAACATTTATTTTATTCATTTTCTATGTCCCATAATAATTGCTAAAAGTAAAAGAAGGCACAATCACTTTGTAGACTAGTCAGAGGTGAGCAGGCTGGCAGCAGGTGATCAGGCAGGTAGGAGGAAGGCAGGCAGGGAGGAGTTGGGGGCAGGTGAATGGGCAGGGAGGAAGAAAGTAGACAGGGAGGAGGTGAGCAGATAGGGAGGAGGTGAGCAGGCAGAGGAGGTGGGCAGGCAGGGAGGAAATGGGCAGGCAGTGAGGAGGTGATCAGGCAGGGAGGAGGTAGGCAGGCAGACAGGAGGTGGGCAGGTAAGGAGGAGGTAGGAGGAACTGGGCAGACAGGGAGGAGGTGAGCAGGCAGGGAGGAGAAAAGCAGGCAGGGAAGAGGTGAGCCTGCTAATAGGAAATGAGCAAGCTGTAGGAGATGCTCAGGCTCTTGTAGGTGGTGAACCAGTTGTAGGAATGTGGGCAGGCTGATATGAGGTGAGCCAGCTGGTAGAAGGTGTCTAGCATGATTTTAAGTGAGCAGTCTGGCAGGAAATGGGCAGGGTGGCCAGGGAGTCCTGGACCTCATGGCCGTCCAATGAAAGGATCCTGTGGAGTGCTTGTGCTGGGCATGCCGGTGGGGTGGAAACCTTCCCATGTTGCCTGGGGGCCTTATGAGTGTCTGTGTGTTCCAGGGTCGGCTGTGTCTGCTGAGCCCCATCATGGCTCCTGTGGGAGCAGCTGTTTGAGCTGGGATATGCTGCGGGGCTCAGGCAGGGGCTTTGTTGGCCCCAGGTGCCATGCGATGGACCCAGGCAACCATCCTCATGATGGGCTAAGAGAGTTTAGGGGAGGCAGCTTGGCATGGTCAGACACTTGAACTTCCCTGTGCCAGGAATAGGGTGGTTCCAGGCTTCATGGTGCTCACATTCCCATGGTTGCCTTACCTTTGCAGTGCCCTGATGCCCAGCCTGGAGCTGAACACGTAAGTCACCCAGGAGCCCTCAATGTGGTGCAGTGGAATCTAGAATTTAGAGTCAGGCAGACTGAGGTCAAATCCTTATTCAGTTGCTTACTCTTCGTGCCACCTTGTGTGTTAGGCTGTTCTTGTGTTGCTATACAGAGATGTCTGAGCCTGTGTAATTTATAAAGAAAAGAGGTTTAATTGGCTCACTGTTCTGCAGGCTGTACAGAAAGCACGGTGCTGGCATCTGCTTGGCTTCTGGGGAGGCCTCAGGGAGTGG